AAAAAAAATCTAAGCTTTGTGGAAATAAGCTTAGTAATCAATTTATAAACTGTATTACACAGCCCTATTGGCCTAAATTGAGTTAAATTTTCTGGATTTTCAACTTTTGGAATTAAAGATATGTATGACCTATTAATATCCGAATTAAAAGAACTATTAACAAAACTATTAGCACAGACCTTGTGTAAAATTTTATCTAAAGACACCCAGTTAGCTTGAAAAAACCTAGGTTGCACTCCATCCGGACCCGGACATTTCATAGGTTCCATATTAAATAAGCAAGTCCTAACCTCCTCTATATTAGGGATAAAGGTAGCTAACAAAATATTTTCACAATTCGAGAGCTTATTAATAGGAACAAAATTACCAGAACCTCCTTTATTAAGAATTTTCGATTGAAAAATATTTTTGTAAAATTCTGTTGCCATATTTTTTAAAATTGAATCATCTGTAATCCAATTATCATTAGAGTCCTAAAGGCATAAAATTTTACCTCTACTTTTTTTAATTTTGGCAACAATGTGAAAATATTTAGTATTAAGGTCACCATATTTGCGCCAATTAAGACCTGCCTTTTGAGCCCAAATAATACGCTCCTTATCATAAATATCTTTTAATTCCTTCAAAAGATCCTTTTCTAAATTAATCAAAAAACTCGAATGATTTTTAGCCAAATAATTTTGTATTCCTCCTATTCTAGTTAAAAGTCTATCTTTTTTATACTTAAGATTCCCAAAAATATTATGATTCCAATCTTTTATTTTATTTTGAAAATTATGCATTCCTATCATATAATCATCATAAGGAGCAGTCCAATTGGTAACAAAAAAATTCTTAAAATTAGGATGAGATAACCAAACCTCCTTACATCGAAGGGGAAAAGGGCCATTCAATCTAGGGTTGGAGCAATCAATTAAAATAGGAGAGTGATCTGAATAAGTAAACGGTAAATGGAATACCTTAGTGTGCGGAAATTGCTCCTCCCAAGCAGCATTACCTAGAGCTCGATCAAGACGCTGCTTGATTAGAGTTGCACCATCTCTCGCATTACTCCAAGTGAAAGGGTTACCATTGTACCCTATATCAAACAACCCAGCAGCATTTGTAAAATTATTCATATCTCTGCATTGAGCATGTCTAAAACCACGCCCTCCAAACTTTTCATTTTGTGAAGTTACCTCATTCAAATCCCCAAATAGAAGCCAAGGAGTATTAGGAGGAGGAAGGTCTGATTGCATGTCTCTCCACATTTCATGTCTTTCCTTAGGAGAAGCCGGAGCATGCATTCCGGTGATCAACGCTTCTCTGTTCATATTTTTAAAATGGAACAAAGCGTGAAAAAAGGAAAAATCCTCTTTAAAATCAGCAACATCAACCACATTCTTCCAGAAAAGCCATATTCCACCCCTTTTATCATTGGCTTCAATAGCTTTGAAATCATGAAAACCTAATTGTAACATAACTTGCCTAACTCTCATATCATCAGATTTCGTTTCAAGAAAAACAAAAACCGCAGGCCGATGGAGATTAATTAAATGACGAGCATGTGGAATGAATTCATCTCGACAAGCTCCCCTAACATTCCAAAGAATAAACTTCATTTTCAAATTAGGTAACGGCCGTTGCAAAGAAACAGAAGGACGATCAGTCGGCTGTGGATTTGGGGGCAGATAATACACTTCCCAATCCCTCCAAAACGCACTCATCCCTATCGGCAGCACATCCTCTAGAGACAATGGGGTCATCTGAGCAACAATCTCCCTCGGTCCCTGCAGGAATCGGTAAAATCTGATTTGCAATTGCATTCCCACCACCGCTTCCTGAGAGATGAAGGTTGCGATAAGGCGATCTGCCATGTTTTGACCTCTGTTTCTAACCGCAAGTGAAATACAGGGATTCTTCTTGGAATTTGAAAGGGGATGTGCGATCCCTTTCCTCCGCTCTTAGAATTGACAGAGCTTCCTGCCTCCTTTTCAGAGCATCCAACAGTCTCACCGCTCCTGTGAGTTCCGTTGGAGATCCCGGCCTTTTCTTGATCAGCAGAGTTTTTATCATCGGTGAAGTTGGAAATAATTGCAACGTTTTCAACTTCGACCCCGATCCATGTTGTAATTCGTGAACTGGAATACCTTGAAGAAACGGCTCCTTCCCTCGATCCTGAGAGTTGAATTCTTGATCCGTTATCTTCCTTCTCTGATAAGTTATTATGGGTAACCTTTGTGGAGATGGAGATTGGTTCTGTTCTTGCATGGCTAGAATTTGAAAAGTCTGAATTGTTTAATTGACAAGCAGAATTGATATCTAATATAGTAGAAATAGAGGAGTTATTCTCTATGACAACCTCACTGTTAGACTTTAGAGGAGTGGAAATCAACGGATCTGGTATTACATCTAATTGCATATCCTCCATGTGTCCTTTTGAAATTGACACATGAGCATTAATGCCAATTGTTGTATCCAAAGCCACGCTTGAAGATTCATCCACCATCATTACCTCTAACTCTTGATTATCTTTAATATTCTCCTCCAAACTTAAATTTGGATCAAATTCAATAACCCTTTTCTCTCCACTAATTAGATCATTATCAGGCCTAGGAGAATTATTAATCACCTTATTAGGGAACAAAATAGGATTATCCTTTATAAAAGTAGAATTAGAAATATCAGTACTAATACATTCCTTTTTTATATAAACAAGATTATTATTATTATTTTTATAAAATAATTCCTTCTTATTATTGTTATTATCAACTACAGATTGCTTATTATATTTTTGGTTGTTATTATCAACCTTATTATTAGAACTAAACTTATTATTACCCTTCCTAAAATTATTATCAACGGGTTTAGAAAACTATTTCCTTTTATTAGTAACTAAAGTCCATGGGCCAAAATCCCCATGAGACTCATTTTCAGCCAACAACTGAAATGGGTTGGACTTAGAAAAAGATCCAACCAATTTGATGGGCTTTAACCCACTGGGTTCATTGATTTGAGGTCCACCATCAGAAGAAGAGGAGTTCAAATTGAATTTACCCTTCTCCATATCTTGCTGTCCAAAAGAGGCTGACTTAAGTTCCACCTCATTCGATTTATTCAACATGCATTGAGATTGAATATGCCCCACCTTGCCACATGTAAAACACAAGGTAGTGATGTTTTCATAGGAGATTAATTGCCACGCGCCCAGACCTTAGTCACTAGAGGTTTGGTTAAGTCAATCTCAATGCACACCCTTGCGTACCTCCCTCTAGTAAGTCTATCCGTTGCATAATCCACCCGAATCGGTGTTCCAGCCAGCTTTGCTATTTCAAACAAAGCCGATTTGTCAAAATATTCAACTGATAATTCTGTAAATCTAATCCACACAGTCATTTTATCAAACGGATTTTCGGAAACTCTGAAATTTGGCCTCCATTTAGTCATCATTAAATAATCATCGAAAACAAACCAAGGACCTCCAAACAAGGCTCTTTCATAATCATCCTCCATTGTAAATCGAAATAAAAAAACATTATGACCTAAATCAATTGCTTCTAGACCACCTCTAACTTTCCACATAAGTTTTGCTCGATTGAGCATGAAAGCAGGACGAATTGTTGTTCCTAAACATTTACCCATTAGAATTAAACCCCATGGTTTTCGCAATCGATCCAGAGTTATCTTATCAAACTTGACAGACAAGCTTGAATCAGGTCCTAAATCCTCCTCTTGAGTCCATTCAGTTGAAGTAGCCACAATCTTCCTTGCCTCCTCAAACCACTGAGAAGAACTAGCAACAACCTCTCGAAAACTCACTACCGGAGAAGTCTTATGGATGGAATCAACCATTTCTTGATCAAGCAGATGGGGTGGATCAGGCGGATCTGAAGAATCCACCATGCTTGAGAATTAAAAAGGATTTTCAACTCTTCTGAGAAGGGGAGTTGTATCACTATATTTCTACAATAATTTCTACTATCCGGCCAACAACACTTGATCAGCTTAATTATCAAATTATATTTTCTTCCACACCCAAAAAAATAGCTTAAATAATGGGCTAATGGACCAGTTTCAGTCGTTATGTGATGCATTATTTTCTAATCATAATCATGCATCTACGCATAATCTTTGTACATGCATGTTTAAGACTTTTAAGTCCTCATAAGCCGTACTTATTTATTAATGAGTAGTCATTTGACTAGCTAGTATCGTGATTAATATAACTCTCGCATCAACATGGATCATCACATCAACAAAATGCATAACATTAGTAACTTCATAAATGGACTAACTGAACCGTGAAAGATGCCAGACTCCTTATAAAAACACGAAAACAGAAGAGGGGGATGACCTAATAACACAGGACGGCAAAATGTCACTGTCACATAATCTCTAAAATATATGGAAAATTTGCAAATTACAGCCATTTAAAGTTCATATTTTGCAAATTGCAGACATTTAAATAAAAAATTGTAAATTGCAGCCCAAAAGTTCATATAAATTGTAAATTGCAGCCCAATTCAACTTTTTCATCGGTTTACAAGTTGAAAAATCTTCGATTAAGGTTTTAGGGACTATTTTAGCCCTTAGGGTTCCGAATTGAGCTCGGAATTAGCAAAAAAATAACGCAAGTATCTCATTTTGCGTAACAAAAATGTATCGATTTGTGGGAAACTGTTAATATGAGACACCTACGTTATTTTTGTGCTGATTCCGAGCTCAATTCTGGTCCCTAAGGGCTAAAATTACCCCTAAAACCTTAACCAAAGATTTTTCAACATGTAAACCGATGAAAAAATTGAATCAGGCTGCAATTTACAATTTATACGAACTTTTGGGCTGCAATTTACAAAAAAAATTTAAATGTCTGCAATTTGCAAAATACGAAGTTTAAATGACTGCAATTTGCAAATTTTCCAAAATATATTGTGCTATTATCATCCAAAATAGGTCACTGGCTTTACAGCAGGAGATTGCTGCACAGCACATAGTCTCGGATCATATTAGCAAAAAACACATTCAATAAAATCATTCTCAAAAATTAAATTGAAGTCAAATGAAACCAAATGAGGATTATCATTTTGCAACATATACCCATCTTCAGCTAAGACACCCTTACCAAATCCTTCCTAACAACAATTCAGTAAAAAAATTGATTATTTCTCCCTTTCAAAAAAACAGTTTTCTACATAAATCTGTAATCGCGATAACCTCTTCAGTAAATCAATAAAGATGAAAATACTAAACACAATTCAAAATAAACGGTCTAGCAGACAGGATGAACAGGCCTAGAGAAGCTGTTTGAATCACTCACCTGAAAAAATTCCTAGCTCTGCGTACTGACTGCAAAAAAAAACTATGAATGACAGCTTGGAGATTTTTTTTAACTAGGTGTGAATAAATTCACCTGATTTGAATAAATAGAACTTATTCAGGCAATAAAGGGAAATATATATAACACGCGAAGGGGCCACTCTGATGGAGCTTCTGTGAATTATGAGAGGTGTTGCTCCTGAATCATCTGTAACCAGGGGAAGTGAGATTCTTCAAGAAAGAACTGCAAGTGTTAAACAACGCTTCCCCCAACGCCCTCCTCTTTAACCAACAATATGATGTTGCAAACAGGAGGATGATGATGAACAATATTTTCTTTCTTTATCCCCATCTGATAATGGAAGATCCCCATGTAAGACCAGCACCAAATCCAGATGTTGCAATGATATGTCCTGGCTGAACTTTTCCACTCCGAACAGCTTCATCCAATGCCAAGGGGATTGATGCGGCACTGGTGTTACCATAATTTGCCAAATTAGACAAGACGCGTTCTGTAGGAACTTCCAAACGTGTTGCAACTGAATCAATAATCCTCTGGTTTGCCTGCGCTCACAATTTTAGATCTTTAATGTACAGCTATATAAAGCACCAAGATTTCCTTGAAAATTAGGAACTGAAAATGAGAGCAGATTATTCCTAACTTCATGAATACTTTAAAACGCACTGCTTCATAGCTTATTTCAGAAACAAAAGTAAAAGATGTTGATTAAGCACGATACCTGATGCAATAATAACCAATCAACATTGGAACTATTTAGACCAGCCTTTTGAAGTGCAGCCTCAATTGACTGGGGCACACATCTTACAGCAAAGCGAAAGACCTCTTTTCCATTCATATTAATACATGAATAGGATGGGCGCCTTGGGGGGAAACCTGCCATGGCACAATTGTTGCTTATTGCTTCATCCACTTCATCAGGTCTCAGGGATGCATTTAAATGCCTACATGTAAGAGAAGTACATAAGAAACATGATTTGCGGAGACATCACATATAGTCCAACCATAACAACTGAATATTGATTCTGCTGTTGGCAGGGTCCTTAGTTGCCCATCTGCACATAGCCTTACTTCCATCCAGAATAAATCTAATTAAAGAGACTGTCAGCCCACCCCAAAGACTCGAAGATATATCACCTCTAGTTCAATGAAACTCGAATGCATACCTTGCACCCTCACCATCACTATGCAGGTCAAAAGCAAACATGCCGTCTTCTTCACTGTCACAAGCCTGGTCCAATTAAAAACACCAAATGAATTTGTGCATCTACACATCAACGTAATAAAAGGATAAGCAGTAATCCGGTAAATGCCACTCAAAGATCAGGTCATATGCAAATATATCAAATACCCTATTTTCTTATACAGATGCCTGTTTTCTTCTTCCCCTTTCCCTCCTCTTGAATTAGAGGACAATATTTGATGGAGTGGAGAGCGTATGTAGAACATAGTGACATACAGCTCAAAGTCAATGCTAGACACCAAAGCCAGAGACAGAGAATGAGATAGTTTGTACAGTGGTACGTGGATAAGGGCAGTCAATTATACAAAGTTACAGCAGTTGTACAGCATAATTTAAGGGCATCATGACTAATTAATCTACTCCGTCCTTTTATCAAGGACCATGTGTACCAAAAAAAAAAAATGTGCCAAATGGAAAAGTTGATATTAAGAGAGTACTGCTTAGAAACAGCGTAGGTTATCTCAACTGAAAAAGAATGTTTTTAACAGCCCACATGTACATAATCATATTAATAGGGGTCACTAAGAAAAGAAGCTGCACTTGTTTAGTGGGAAACTAACACCTTATCCCTGCACCTTTTCCTACATCTTTAGCTCTTAAGTAGTGAGGTAAATACTACTACAGGCAACTTCCCACCAGTTAAAAAAAAAAAAAAAAAAAAAAAAAAAAAAGAGAGAGATTTGAGAGGTTGAGAGAGCCAAAAGGAGCCGACAAATAAGACAGAAAATCCAAAGGAGATTGACACCTTACCTGCACTACTACAGCTCCAGCAGCATCACCAAACAGTATGCAGGTTCCTCTATCAGTCCAGTCAACAAAACGAGAAAGAGCATCAGCACCTATAACTAGGACATTCTTGAATCCACCACCTGGAATTTACAAAGCAAAAGATTAGCATTTTTGAAATTTGAGGGATAAAAAGAAATTACTAGAGAAAAGAAATCAAAGTCACTACCCCTTACGTGACAAGCAGCAGACACCAGACCCAGCAAAAATCCACTGCAAGCAGCAGTAATATCATAAGACAAGGGACTTCGGCTGCATCCTAATGCTTTTTGTACCTGTATAATAATAACTTAATAGCATGATTCAAGATGCTTGTATAAATATGAAAGGACAAAGAACGGCCGCAAGTCTATATGCAAAATATGCATCCCTGTGGAGAAATCAACCATTACTTATTACTAGATTTCACCATCACTACTTTTTGCCTTTCTTTAATATTGACTGCTTAGTTACCTAGACTACATTTGTTGTCAGAATTCAACAGTTTCACTCATTAATATATATGAGCAACAGGCATCAGGCACAACTGTATTTGGTTGATCTCATCTAAGTAGAATGTGTAAGTAAACATTTGTTTATATTCTAAATTCCTAAGCATTCCATACTAAACTTTCTAATGCCTCCATTCTATAGCCAAGATTAAAGCTTTAAGAAACTGACGGTAAGAAAAACAGCTCTTGACACAAAAATCAATATTGAGTTCATCAAAGGTGTACTGATAAAATATATAGGCATACACACGTCCCTGGGTCAAGCCTCACACTGAGGCTGTTTTCAGAAAAGCAAATGGTCCACATATTACTGTTCCTTTAGGGAATTTACAAAACGAACAAGCAAAATAGACATATTTAAATTAACATACTCATTTATATTTTAGAAGAATAAAAACACTAAGCAGAAGATTCAAGCCTGGGTGAGCCGGTGAAGGGAATAGCATATTCAAGAAGCTGTAATAATTCAACTCATGAGTAGCCAACATTAAGAAAAAAAAAAAAATACCTGAGGAGCACTGCCAAAGAGGTCCTCGGCTGTAGAAGTGCACATCAAGATAAGGTCAATATCATCTGGGCCAACATTGGCCATCTGTAGAGCATTCCTAGCTGCTTCGGCAGCTAAGCCTACCAAGCTATCGTTACCTGTAATAGAGCAACAAAACCTGAGATCGACATCTGTGTGAGACACAGGCATGCAGTCAAAGTTAAGGAAAAGATCTTACAGAAAACCAGAATCCATTATTACAAATACCCAAGCTCATTTGTTGGCTTAATCTCAGTTGGTTTGGTTTAATTTATAGGATATAAAATGTTAAAATTTGATAGACATGTATAGCTTGAACAACATAGCCAATTTATGTCAGATCATGGGTCTTGCTGGGCCAGCATTATCAAGATTGGACACACATACCAGACTTACGAGGAAGGTCACTATGAGAGTATGAGAGTTTGAAGTAACAGGGATCAACAAAAGAGTCAAGCAACCCTCTCTAAAGTTCCATATACAAGACAGACACACTAACCTGAAAGGACACGTCGATTGCGAATCCCTGTTCGAGTAGATATCCATTCATCCGAAGTTTCAACAAATTTAGAAAGATCATCATTGGAGATCTGCAGCTTTGGTACAGCAGAACCACAACCTACTAGCTTACATCCCCTATTTACTAGCCTGCATGAGGAACCGTCAATATAATAGCATATTCAATCAGAGCTTGGTAAATAAAAAGCCAAGTTTATTTGAAGGAGTAAAAATGGATGGAGAATAAAAAGCCCAAGCTCCATGTACTGGGAAGAAAAGATGCGCACGGAAGAAATTTTACGTTTGATTTGACAGTAATTTTCCCTTTTTCAATTGTTTGTTTTGTACAGATTAGAAAACAAAATTTCCAAAAGGTAATAGTTTTTCAAAGAGTTTCCACAGTTTCCTCCCTATTCCTAACATATCTTTCCACTCCTCCCATCCCTCTTCTCCCTTTCACTCCCATTTTCCACTTCCTATCAAATTTTTCTAGAAAGGAAACATACAAAGGAAAATATATCCACAACTTATTCTTGAATATAGTTTTTCATTAAAAATCAATTCTGGATATATGTTTTTTTGTCACAATAAAAAGAACCTAAGACAAGACAAAAACATTTAAAAATTAAACAACCCCAGCAATCTTAACATTAGGATGAGTACTGACTAGTGACTAGCAAGCCATCACACAGAATTCCAAAAGGAGTATATCCCATCTTGATCTGAAATTCATATTTTTTTTCTTCAAAGTAACACGATCTATTTACATGTATCAGGATTCTGTAGCCAAACCATGCAATCGGACATATAATTCAGCAAAGACAAGCTTCAAACTCAACTATCTGATAACTCTGACACAATGTCCCTTGCATGACGGTGCTAGAACTATTGCAAAAATTAAAATTCTAATACGGAGTACCAATTTACCTCCATCCAGATTTTAAGCCATATTGACTAACAATGCAATATAAGAAACACAATCCATTGACTCATTTACCTTGGCTGGTTATTCAAGTCCTAAAAGATAAAACACTACTCAAAATCTAATATAGTATACGTACAACATTAATTGTTGTTCACTAGATTTGAGTTTTTGACCCCCTATAATAAGCTGAAAACCTAGTAGAGAATCAGAATTGATAGCAAAACCAGCTCAATGATAATCAGCACAAGACTTAACCTCTATGGCTTTATCTCACATTCTCACAAAATCAAATTAAATTCAGCCCAACGAAGAATTATCTAAACCAACAATCAAAAATTACAAAATACCAAAACCCTGAAAAAATTTCCACAAAAATCACCCTAACTTGTAATTCATAGCAAGTTTCTTCCAAAATTTGCAACAAAACAATTAAACCCAAAACATTATAATCAACAAAGTTGCAGCAAAATCTACTTCACAAAGCTAAAGATTATATTACAATTTACAAGCACAAATTACCTTGAATTGACATCAATGTCGGGTTTCTTACAACAAATGTTGGAGAAACGGCGACCAAATCCATTGATAGGAAGCATGATATTTTGCTTTTCATTAACGTTGGGATTCAAGAAACGCAAAATGTGCTGGAAATCTACGTTGGCTACCAAAGACTGTTGATGAATTTAAGAACAAATTATTAAAAATAAAACCCAAATATTAATAAAGTTTTGATCTTTGAAGAGAAAGAAAGAGATCGTACCATTTTCGCATCTCCAGATGAGATTAAGGATGAAGTTCAGAAGTGGCTTTTTTCTCTCTCTCTTTGGTGGAGACTCCAAAGAAGGAAGAGTTTGGTTTGGTGAAGTGATTGGGAAAATTTATGACGAAAATAAAATTAAATAAATTAAAAGAAGTTTTTTTTTTTTTTTTTTTCCTTTTTTTTGGTGAGAAAAATAGGTGGAGGAAGATGAGAAAAAGTATGCTTTGAGCTTTGAGGTCTATTTAATGCTGAATTTATTTAAATCCAAATCTATGAGATCCAAAAGTGGGATCAACCAAAATTGCAAGAAATGTTTTGGTTGTTGGGTATTAATTTATTAAATAATACTAATATAAAGATTGTAATTAATACAAAGTATCGCCTATAAATATCATAAAAGCATTAAAGCTACACGAACCAACTTGAATTAGTTGTAGAGGATAACAATTCCGTTCTCACCCTTACCATGTGAGATTACTTTGTATAAATGCACTTTGTTTTATGATAATCTACGCGTGGCAACGTATGACAACATAATATCATAATCCACTCCAACCCTGCCAAACTTTATAAACATATGAATCGTATTGACTATCGAGTACGGTTGACTTTTGGTTGAGTTAGGTAGATACAAGTCGATTTTAGATAGTTTTACCGGATTAGAAATTGACATCACTAGCACTAATGATTCATGTAACTTTATTTGTATTTATCATGAACGCATTTGAATACAACTTTATTTGTATCTATCATGAACGCCCTTGAAAAATTTACGAAGTATGTGTGATTCCTAACTTTTTCTTCTTCTTTTGATTCCCCCCACTTCTTTTATCTCATTTTCACCCATACTCGTCCGATAGAATTTCTTCAATTTCTAAAGATATCATCCAAAATACTAATACATAATATAACTTCATACACTACAACGAACTAAAGCCTGGTTCTATTTACCTTAAATATAATATTTAGTAGAAATAATATTAGTTTAGTAAAAATACGTTTTAATCCGTAAAATGCATTTACTTTAAGAGAACAAAATTATAAGCAAATTAGTAAAATTATAATATAATTACATTTTTAAAAACATACTTCAAAGTTATTAAGTACCATGTTTGAGAAAAAAGCTTTCACATAATAGCAATTTAATATGAAGTACTACTATAAAGCAAAACAAGTTCAAACTTGAGTGAACTCTATGCATGTCTATTGGCTATCAATAATATACTCAATAAAGTCAATAGCTTAATAGTCAAAGTACAGTACAATACAATCCATATCATTCCTGTACATTATCCATAATTTGTTTGCTATTATGACTCAAGGCATAATAAAAATTCCTTTTTTTTTTCCTGGGGTTGGAAGACAATCATCCAAACATCAAGCATTTTCATCATTATGTACTTAAACTTCTGCTTTGCAACAAAGATTATCACAACCTCCACAAATCTGTCTATTTTCTATTTGTATGCTGAGAAAGCAATGAGTTATCACACAAGAATTATGTAATTTAAGAAACAAAAGGGGCCAAACCATTGATCTCTGGTATAATAAACGAATCACGGTACTATGAAGTTAGAAATGAGTTCTCAGAGACTGAGAATACAAGTATCACAGATAGTATTATCTGGGGGATGCTTCAGCCCCGTCTTTTACAATGGAACACAGAACTTGCTTTGATATATACCCCTCTAGCTCCCTTGACACCCCTGTCAGTTTCAAGTCGAAATTGCTTTTGTATATCTGATTTGGCTGTGCAGCTGTATTGGACAGTGTAGCTGGAGAACCGGAAATTCGTCTTCTTGGACTTGAGAATCTTCCTGGTGAGCCTGGATGTCTTGCTATTGAAACAAGAGGAGTTGTTTTGCTCTGATCACTTTCTGGCTTCTCCAATGGGCCTTTTTTCACCTCGAAAGGAAGTGGATTAAGTTTTTCGTGTTCAACCATTTGCTTCTCTTTGGCCTTTTCAGCAGCTTTTAAAGCTTTTTCTTTACTCATCTGTATCAGCTTCCATGGATCAATGCTAGCATGGAAGTGTTGATTCTGGTTAATGATGGAGGTGCCTGATTGAGGATCGATTTTGACAGATAATTGTTCTGGACTCTGAAAGTATGGCAGGGTAATTAGCAAGTCGAGAATAGCAAATATTCAAACAGTCAATAATGTAGAGGCAAATTGTAAATGCTTGTATAAGTAAAGGCGCGCTGCAAATGCTTTACCAGATTTGATTTCTGTCCTATGAACTGAGACAAAATGATCCTTTTTGGTGAAGCAGATTCACTGCTATCATCTGACGAAAATTCTGAATCATTCAATGACTCCAATCCACTAAATCGATGCTCTGCTCTCATAGCCAATATGTAATCATATGTTCTCATTCCCTGCAACAATTTTATTAAGACATACTCAGACTTCAAACAGGCTATATCATATTCAGGTTGTGGCAATAGAGGCATCTTTTTGGTACATTTAAACAAACTGATCAGACTGCAGTTTAAGCAAGAAATGTTCAACACAGTATGCCTAAATTATGACAGCATAACTAGTGAACATGTGACTGCTTATGTCATGTCCCTTTGCATTACTTTCTATTCACAGATGATCATTGCTGGCTCCTTGTATCTAGAATACTAAATCAATCAGCTCATACGCGGACACAATGTAAAGTAATCAGGCCATAGTGTCTATAAGGAACTAAGGAAACATAATCAAAATACAAGTCGTAAACACTTATATTTTCCTCACAGACAAAATCCAAACACACGGTGCACTACATGGGCTCTGGCAGTATGAAGTTTCTCCTGGCAAGATTAATAAGGATACCTGTTTGAACTTTTTGATCACTGCTAACAACTAAAACTTTGTTTCTTGTAAGAAAAATACTAATTTATTGAAGGCATCAAAAATACTAATTCTTGAGAGCTCAATATCAATTATACACAAAGTAGCCAGCAGAAGTACCTTACGAATGAGAACAACATGAAAGAAAAAGAGTTGGCCAAGTGCTGCTGAGCCATAAGCTGTCAACAAAACCAACACTGCCTACAAGATCATCATCAACAACCAATGAGCGAGAAGGCATACAAAAAAACGCTAGGTATACAAAGGGCAATCAGATGAAGCTTACAGATATTGCAGCAAGAACTCCCCTAGGAAACTTGGCTGTGTGAAATACCCTTGCTAATTCCTGATCCATGTTTTTCTTATAAGCAAAGCACCGAACGAATACAGCAATAGCTGTTCCTCCTTCAATTGTAAGCTGCAATCATCAGAAAGAATTTAGGGAAAAGATATTTTTCAATTGTTTATCTTTGGTCAATAAAAGAACTTGTACACTCAATATGGGACGAATGATTGATGTGCACAAAATTGAAGTACACTTGCAACAAGAAGCTAAAAACTCACCATCAATAGGACAAATATCATAAGGAGGATGAATGTTGTATAATTCCTTTTTCCCACACAATTGTTGAGCCACTATAAGGGAGCATAAGATCGAGTTAGAGAAGATCCAATACATTCATACACACACACACATACATACAGCCGACATAGGCATACAACATGTACTTTTCTTACCCGGCAATGGTGATCAAAGCCCTCGACACAACGATTACATGTCCTACAATGTTTGCTATGTTTTTTAACATGGAAATTACACAAGGAGCAAAAGGAGAAATCCTCATCCTTATCATTAGGATCAACATCAGGCGAAACGGAGTCATCATCTTCTTTAGTAACAAGGGGAGGCAAAGGAAACGGAAGCAAGGGATCCAAGTGAACATGACCATTAGCAACGCGCGGATCTAGTAAATACTTCCTCCTTATACAAGTCTTAAGAATCTTTCTCTCAAACCTCCTAAAACACCTCATAACCACCTGTCTCAATATAAAACCATAATTCAACTTTGTCAATGTTTTTGCTTTACTCTTCTTCACTTTCTTTTTCTTGTGATTACTATGTCTATTTTTCGCAGACGGATCAGTCCCCGTGCACCTAATAAATAACACCATAACCGAGATTGCCTGATACAAAGTACAAACCAAACAATTAACAAAAGATTATCACCCACTACATGTTATAACTCAAACTTTTAACTTTCAATTTAGAAGTATGCAAATTTTCAAGGGTTTTACCACTGAAGAATATACTGAAATGACTACAATTTCCGCAATTCGATTGCCAAGAAAGAATCCTAGAAAGCAATAGAATGAAGCCACTAGGAAACTGTATACTGCCATTCCCACCATCTGTAAGTAAGATCATATAAAACAGGCAATTTGACCAAAACATCAGAAAACTAGTACAGTGAACTAAAACATAATTATTTCACTAACAAATTTCAATTTTTTTTATAAAAAGGAAAGAAATGAAGTCACCTGTAAAGGGTGGAAAGGGCGCTGCCAACCATGGCGCCTGGCATACATTCCTAGTAGCTACCGCTGTCGCCGCCACCGGCTTCTGATAGAAATTCCTCCCTATTCAAGGAGAATTGTGGTGTACCCCACAAATCTTAATCCAGGCAATTTGATAAGAAATAGGAATAATCATAAATTGAGCTTACTGTCTAGATAATTAATTCAAAGAGCATAAATTTTGTGACCCACAAATTGAACTAAATCAATGTATGTATAATGAGAATGATATACTAACCTGGCTCAAAAATTACAGAGAAACCCAGAATCTGTAAATGATATTCATATTTGATATTCTCTTGTTTGAGCTTGAATTTAAATTAGAATCCCCTAATTTTGAATTAAATTTCTGAAGATAAAGATGGCATAAAACAGTCAGAAACACATAAAATCAATCAAAATTTCTCGAATTCATGACATAAATATTATTATTCTTTGAGCTGAATCTTGCAAATAAAAAAAGGAAGCAAATTTGAGAAATGATTCTACAGATTTAGCAATAGAAACCAATGAAATTGACGAAATTATAATAATACCAAGTTCTAATTTGTAAAGCAAGAAATAAAATGGAAGGTTTAAAAATGGGAGCCAGTTTACCTTGTGAAATTGAGTTTGAAGCGTTGGAGAGAGGAGAGAGAAGAATGAAGCAAAGTTGAGCGGGGTTCCCGTTATTTTCAACAATTCGAAATTGAAGACAAAAGAAAGATGTTAGATTTGTTTATTGGGTCTGTCAAATGTGGCCCAATAATCATATCTTTTTTTACTTTCCAAACAAAAACAGACTTTGCATGAGACAATGTATGACCCAATCAAGGCCCTACTCAAGCAAACCCCCCCCCACCCCCTTTTTTTTTTTTTTCCAAGTTCACTTCTGTTATTTGTATCGGGTTTAATGAGGTCGGGTCGAGTCAGGTTTATTTAAGGTAGAGTCA